ATGGGGGCACCTGGGTGGGGTGGGGTGGGGTGATGCGGGTGCCAGTGGGCAGTGAGAAGAAAATGGGAAACGGGACCAGAGCCTGCAGTTCAAGTACAAGAACTGGAAGCGGGGGAGAGTTGTGACCAGCACCTTCCAGAAACGCCGGCCCAGCCCTCCTGGACTCTGAATGCCCAGTCCGAAAGGGTGACCTGACCCAGCTCCCGAGCCTGCGCTCTCAGAAATGGAGGAGGGGACGGAGGCAGGAGGGGCCTCAGCCCCACCCCCAGGCCCTGCTGTGCGGTCCTAAAGCCCCCAGCCCTGCATCAGAGGACCGGAGACACCTGAAAAGACGCAGGGGGCGTGCTCTGTCCTTGTGCTAATTCGACCCTTGCCCTGTGCGGGTGGGTTTAGCAGAGAGGCGGGCCTCCGAGGTCTCACCTTCCAAGTTCATGGCGGCCAGACTTTCCACTAATATGTGCGATAGGAAGTTCTCCATCCCGTAGAAGAAGAAGCCTGTGCAGCTGCCCAGAAGCTGCTCCCACTCGGCCTGGCTGCCAAGGCAGGAGAGGAAGAAGCCGGGGCGGGGAGGCGACGGGACTCAGGGCCGCCACCGTGAGCACCCTGTGCTGCGGTCCGTCCCAGCCCTCCCCCGGGCCGTTACTCTGAGAAGCAGCGGAGGAACCTTCCTGCAGCCCGGGAGCCCAGGTCAGCCCCGCCCCTCCCAGGCCCCCGACCCTCGGCGAGGCGCCGCCTGGAGACTCTTGAAGCTGAGCCGGTGGGCGCGCACCTCCTGGGCCCAGGTCCAGCCGGGCGCTGGGATTCTAGGCGCCTCCGGGCAGGGAGGAAGGGGCTGAGTCAACAAGGGGGTCAGGGCGGGAGGGGACGGGTCTCCCGCGGGCGCAGCCCAGAGGCAAACCTGGGAAACTGCTGACTGCCCAGGTGCCCCGTCCATTTCCCAGTGAACGTGTCTCGGAATCGTTCCAAAATTTCCCGGGTCACGGAGACAGGAGTCAGCATTTCTGCAACCAGAATGGGATGGTGACCAGAATGGGATGGCGTCGAGGGTGAGGCCACGGGGTGGCCCTTGGTGCGGCAGGCGCCCGGGGCCTGGCTGCTCACAGGCAAGGAGCCTGGGGGAGTGGAGGGGTGGCGCCCCTTCCCTCCTCTGTGAAAACCAGCTCAGCCAAAGAGCCAAGGAATCGTCCCAGAGCCGCGGGGCCGGCCCCCTGCCACAGGTCCACACCTGGGGGCGGCACCCTGCCGACTCAGGGGTCCCTGTCACACGCTGTTGACCTGCTCGGGCTGCAGACGAGAGGGCGGGCGGGTCTCGGAGCACACGGCCACCATCCCCCTTCCCCATGGGAGGTGTAGCAGGAGCTGGCCCAGGGCCACATGGAGGCAGGGCAGAGGCTCTGAGGCCAGCACCCAGGCCTCCATGTTCCCAGTGCTGGGGGCGGCCCGTGGCGGGGAGCGCTCACCTGGGCCTTGGGCCTCCTCATAGGGGTCCACGACGACTGGGCCTTGGTTAAGGAGAACTAGGCCCCAGGATCCGTGTCTGGGACGGGTGAAGCATCAAAGGATACACTTGAAGTTGTCCGAGTCGACGAGGACGCAGTGGGAGGGGACGATCCGGGGCATGGTGCCCTGTGAAGATAGGCAGGGGTCCCTCGGGGTGTGGCCTGCGGGCAGAGCTGGGCCGCTCCAGCCAGGGGCCAGGCCGCAGGCTCCCCAGGCCCTGGGGCTCAGCGGGGCCGGGACCACCTACCTTCCCGGCCTTCCGTGTCGCGCCTCTCTTCTTGTGGTCTTTGCCTCTGCTTTCCTTCTTCATGTTCCCTTCTGCTGAGACAGTAACAGGAAGTGGGGTCACGGAGCTAGACAGAGGCACAAGGTTTGAGTGCACTAGACACCACTGAATCGTTCACTTGAAAATGGTTAATTTTATATTATGTGAATCTCACCTCAGTGTAAAAACAAGCATTGAGAACAGTTGATTTTAATTTTGGTAAATCTGAAATGGCAGTAATTTCTCAAATGTAAAAGCTCCCAGGGCTGGGAAAGGCCTGGGCCAGGAGGTCTCAAGAAAGGAACAGTTGCCAGAGGTGCCCAGGCCTGCACACCTGACCATTCACACACTACGCGGGGCGCCTGCCGGTATGCGTGCCGCCTGGCCCACTCACCGAGGGCGGGCACTGTTTGCTGGCTGCTCTGCCTCCTGAGAGTTTACACCGTCTGCTCCCTGCCCGTCCCTCTCCTGGTGGAGGGAACTGACCTCTGCGGAGGCCTCCAGGTGAGCACAGATGTAAGCGCTGACGTGGGGGCTCTCTGCCAGGGCCTGACCTTACGGGGCACACAGGAGGCAGCCTGCTCTACATTCAGATCAATTCTTTCATCAAGATGAGGGGTTCACTCCACTCCTGGCTTGCTGAGAATTTCTGTTGTGAACACATGCATCATCTGAGATGTTTACAGGTTCCTTTTCCCTTTACTCTCTTCACATGTGACATCTATAGGTTTTAAGGTAAGATGGGGTGATGAGATGTTATATTTTTCTTTCTTTCCTATTCTTGAGCAGTTCAGGCGTCAGGGTCACCACTGGCCAGCAGAAGACAGACTTATTCCTTCTACCTGGGAGATGTGTACAGACTGACAAGAACAGTTTCTTGGAATTTTGGTAGAATTCAACAGAAAAAAAAAAAAATGGTAAAACTGGTATTTTTGTGGGGGAATGTAAATCTGTTGATCTTTCTTTCTTGGCTATGAGGCTGTTGGGGTTTTCTTTCCTTCGTGAGTCTGGAGTTCTTTTTCCCTAGGATGTTGTAAAAAATTTGCCTAAATTTTTGAACATATTGCCACAAAGTTGTTCACAATAGTCTATTATCTTAAATCTCTAATGCTCTTTAGAGTTTGTGTCTCTTTTATTTCTAATATTGTATATTTGTGCCTTTATTTTTTTCTGGATCATTCTCACAGAATGTGTCTATTTTACGAGGTTTTTTTTTTTATTTTCTCAAACAACCAATGTTTATCTTTGCTTCCAATTTTGTTGGCGTCTGTTCATGTATTTTTTGTAGGCTTTCCTTTGCTTTCTTCGTTTTTTCTTTTTTTTGTTTTTGCTGTTCTTGCTCTAACTTCCCAAATTAGATGCTCAGCTTAAAGCCTCCAGCCCTTTTCCTCTCGAGTCTGCTGTAATCCAGTCTTTTTGACATTTCTGTGGTCACTTCTTCTGAGTCCCATACGCTGAGCTATTTAGAAGTCACTGTTTTAAAATTTCTGAAATATGGGGATTTAAAAAAAATCCATCTTTTGGGAATTGACATCTGACCCAGTCACACATGGTCTCAGCCTGTTTCTCTGATTTCTAGACACAAGGTCCACGTGTCCATGAAGCTGGGTTTGTTAGCTTTGTTGCTCAAAGCCTGTCTGGGCCCTTCCTGCTCATGCCGGCAGTGCTGGTCGCGGGCTGGACTCGCCCATCGCCGGCGTGGGCCCCAGCCTGGCCCCAGGTTCTTGCCACTTGTGCTTCCCCTGTTTGGGGCTCCTTGGTCACCGAGTGACGGCCCCGCCCCGCGGGGCCCGAGGCGATAAAGGTGGCTCCGCTGCACAGTGAGAAGGCGGCCCTTTCAGCGGCACCGGGCACTTCTCGTGTCTGTTCCTCTGCTTGCCGGCTGCCGTGGCTCCTCTCTGGTCAGGAGTCTGGCATCAGACAGCGCCGACTGGCACGCTCTGGCTCACTCTGCCTTTAGTGGCAGGTGGGGCCGCTCACCTTTTTGGCTCTCGATCTAATGGACGGGTCCCGGCACCTCGCCCCGCTGTTATGCGTGTGAGTCTCCATCACTGGCTGCTTGTAACTTGACTGAGGTCTTGGTTCACTTGTTTCTCTTGCTTATTTCCCCTCTTTATTGGTTTGGAATTTATACACCAGTTGTTTTTCTGTGGTTATCCTTAAAGGTTTGCCGTGAACAATCAACGTTCACAGAGCACTCCTCCAGCCTGAGGGTTCCCGGCTCTGAGAAGTCCTCACTCGGGGGTGTGCAGAATCCTTTTTTATCCCCACTCAACACTGCTTCGGAAAGACAGCTCACATTCATGTAGGGTGCTTGCTGCTTTATGGTGAGAGTTTGTGTTAGTGTTGCTGCTGCTGTAACAAATTGCCACAAATGCAGGGGCTTCAAACAACAGTTCTAGAGGCCAGAAATCAAAAGGGGTCCCACTGGGTTAAAACCGAGGTGTGCTCAGGGCCGGGTCCTCCTTAAGGCTCCAAGCACAATCGGCAACCTTGCCTTTTCCAGTCCCTGGAGGCGCCAGGAGCTCATTCCACTCCCTCCATACCTGCCCCCTGCCTGTTTTCAGGACCCTGGTGATGGCATGGAGCCACCCAGACAATCAGGACAATGGCCCCACCTCAGAATCTGTCATTAACCACACCCGCGAAGGCCCTTTTGTCATGTCGGGTCGCATCCTCTTGGGGCCTGGGGATCGGGAGAGGGACATCTCTGGGACGTTGTCCTGCATCACTGCCGGATGCCCACAGGATGATCTGCTCTCCCAGACAACGCTGGCAATGCAGAGTAGTGCAGACAGGAAGGCCCTCCAATAATGGTGTGCAGACAGCTGGGGCCTCACGTGGAAAAAAGAAAACTAAAGCTTAACTCACACTGTACACAAAAACCAGTATCAGGTGGAAGGTAGACAAAAACCTGAAAGGTGAAAAAGAGAGACATGGAGGACATCACAGAGTATCTTCATGGTCTTCAGGTAAGAAAATATATGTTTTCTTTTAAAAGACCTCATAAGCACGAAGTGTTAAGAGAAGATGGATACACTGGACTCTATTCAAATACTTTGTTCGCTGAGAGGTACCAGTTACAGGAGTGAAGACATGAGCTTGAGAAGGAGATTGGCAGTTCAGACAAGTGAGCAGAAAATGTATGCAGACCTAACGAACAAAACCTGGAAAACCCAAGGCAAAAACTGGCGAAAAACTAGAACAGATTCTCACAACGAAGACATCAAATAGCCCATAAAATGTGAAAGGGGTGGGACTCCCAGCCGCAGGGGTGCAAATGGGTGGGGCTTGTACCAGGCTCCACCCACCCACCCCACTCCTGCTTCTGTTCTGGGTGGGCCAGGAACCCAGGGTCTCTTCCACCCTTAATTTCTGGCCTATTAGTGTCGTTTGATTTAAGCTGATTTCCTTAAAGAAGCATGTTTGGGGCCAGGCCTTGCATTTCCATTCAGGGAGGGGATCTTCATCTTTTGATATGGGTGTTTTGACCTTGCGCGGAGACTGATTACTGGGGTGCTGGGTGCAAACACACCATCTTGCTGTTTCATTTCTTTGTCCTGTCTCTGCTTTGCTCCTTGCCCCCTCTTCCTGGCTGCTTCTCATCAGTCCTGCTGTTTATGATTCTCTTTCCTCCTCTTCATTGTGTCCCAGCGGTTTCTGTCTCTGTGTCCAGTTGCTGCGCTAACCGCTGGTCACTGGCCACTGGCTGGTCAGCACATGACTCTCACCCACAGCCCTTGCTGCCCCACACGTTCCATTTATATAATGCTGTAAACCCCACCACACATTGCTATTAATTTTTAATGTCAACATCTCTTAAAGAGATTTTAAATTAAGAAAGAAGTTTTAATGGCCCACCCACCCTTTTCCAGCTTCTGGTGTTTATTCCTTTGTGTAGACGTTGACTCCCACCCTTTTTTCCCTGCCTGGAGAACATGCTCAGCCTTTCTTGTGGGGTAAGCAGGCCTGCTGGGAAGAATTCAACTCATCTGTTTCTGAAAAAGAATTTCACCACTGTTCTTGAGAGTTATTTTTGAAAATACCCACATTGATAGATATTTCTTTTTTTATTTCTGTAATAATTTAAAGACGTCCTTCACTACTTGTGTCGTTTCTGCTGAGAAGCCTGCTGTGCCTCTTGAGTTTGCTTCTTGATACACAAGGTGTCTTTTCCCCTTCAGTCCAGTTCAGTCGCTCAGTCGTGTTCGACTCTTTGTGACCCCATGGACCGCAGCACGCCAGGCCTCCCTGTCCATCACCAACTCCCAGAGTTTGCTCAAACTCATGTCCATTGAGTTGGTGATGCCATCCAGCCATCTCATCCTCTGTCGTCCCCTTCTCCTCCCGCCTTCAATCTTTCCCAGCATCAGGGTCTTTTCCAGTGAGTCAGCTCTTCGCATCAGGTGGCCAAAGTATTAGAGTTTCAGCTTCAGAATCAGTCCTTCCAGTGAATATTCAGGAATGATTTCCTTTAGGATGGACTGGGTGGATCTCCTTGCAGTCCAAGAGACTCTCAAGAGTCTTCTCCAACACCACAGTTCAAAATCATCAATGTTTCGGTGCTCAGCTTTCTTTATAGCCCAACTCACATCTATACATGACTGCTGGAAAAACCATGGCTTTGACTAAACGAACCTTTGTTGGCAAAGTAACATCTCTGCTTTTAAATATGCTGTCTAGGTTGGTCATAGCTTTTCTTCCAAGGAGCAAGCATCTTTTAATTTCATGGCTGCAGTCACCATCTGCAGTGATTTTGGAGACCAAAAAAATAAAGTCTGTCACTGCTTCCCCATCTATTTGCCATGAAGTGATGGGACCGGATGTCATGATCTTAGTTTTCTGAATGTTTAGTTTTAAGCCAACTTTTTCACTCTCCTCTTCCACTTTCATCAAGAGGCTTTTTAGTTCTTCTTCACTTTCTGCCATAAGGGTGGTGTCATCTGCATATCTGAGGTTATTGATATTTCTCCCAGCAATCTTGATTCCAGCTTGTGCTTCAATCAGTCCAGCATTTCACATGAAGTACTCTGCATATAAGTTAAATAAGCAGAGTGACAATATACAGCCTTGACGTACTCCTTTCCCTATTTGGAACCAGTCTGGTGTCTCACGTCCAGTTCTAACGGTTGCTTCCTAACTTGCATACAGGTTTCTCAGGAGGCAGGTCAGGTGGTCTGGTATTCCCATCTCTTTAAGAATTTTCCAGAGTTTGTTGTGGTCCACACAAAGGCTTTGGCATAGTTAATAAAGGAACTCTCTTGCTTTTTCAATGATCCAATGGATGTTGGCAATTTGATCTCTGGTTCCTCTGTCTTTTCTAAATCCAGCTTGAACATCTGGAAGTTCACGGTTCACATACTGTTGAAGCCTGGCTTGGAGAATTTTGAGCATTACTTTGCTAACATGTGAAATGAGTGCAATTGTGCAGTAGTTTGAGCATTCTTTGGCATTGCCTTTCTTAGGGATTGGAATGAAAACTGACCTTTTCCAGTCCTGTGGCCACTGCTGAGTTTTCCAAATTTGCTGGCATATTGAGTGCAGCACTTTCACAGCATCATCTTTTAGGATTTGAAATAGCTCAACTGGAATCCCATCACCTCCTCTCGTGATGCTTCCTAAGGCCCACTTGACTTCACATTCTAGGATGTCTGGCTCTAGGTGAGTGATCACACCATCATGATTATCTGGGTCGTGAAGGTCTTTTTTGTATAGTTCTTCTGTGTATTCTTGCCACCTCTTCTTGGCTCTTTTCCCCTTGGCTGCTTGCAAAATACTCTACCACTGGTTTTAATCACTCTGACTACAATGATCCCTTTGTAGTTTTCTCTGTTTCTTGTGTTTGGGATTCACTTAACTTCTTGGGTCTGCAAGATGATGGTTTTCATGAAATTTGGGGGAAAACTGGTCATTATGAACTCAAATATTCCCCCCGAGAAAACTCCTCTACAGGCAAATTCATTGCTTTACCTTATCCAGCAGCTCACTGCTGCTCTGTTCTGTTTCCCCCAGTTTTTTGGTTCTGTTTTTTCCCCAGTTTGTTTCTTTAATTTCTTCAAGCTCACGAGGCTTCCCTCCTGCCGTGCCGGCTGCAGCAATGCTGCCCAGGGCGTGTCTCTCCTCAGCAGAAGCTCAGTTCGGGTTCACTTCACGCCTTGCACGTCTCCGCTCACCACACTCCACCTCCCACCACCTCCTGACAGGTGGGTCCCAGGCCCAGGGCCTGCTTAATGGTTTGTTGGCTGACTCTATCACCTGCGTCATTTCCGCTGCTGCTTTTGATTGACTTTTTTTTGGGGTCTTTGAAGGCAAGTACTTTTTGATTGGATGTCAGACATTTCAAATTTTGCCTTGTTGGGTCCTGGATTTTTTTTTTTTAATTCTTTACATCTGAAACCTTATTTTGAGACACAGTCAAGTTACCTGGAAACAGTCTGATGCCTTGAGGCATATTTTAGCTCTGGCGGTGGGCCTGACTCCAGCTCCCGTGGGTAGAGGCCGCACCCTCGGCCCCTGTGCCCGATGCTGGCGGCCATGAGGTTTTGTTCTGTGCATCGTCTCCACGCGCGCCTGCACTGACTCGGTCGCAGCTGGGGACGGAGGGGACCCTCTGTGTGTCTCTCCTCCCAGGATCGCCGTGTGTCCCCAGCCCCCCTCTGCTCACCTTGGGGAGACCGCTGGGCTCTGCCTGGGCCTCCCCTCACCTGCTGCAGCCTGAGACTCTCCAGGCAGAAAGCTGGGGCTCAGCTGCCTGTTTTCCTCTCTTGGGGATCACTGGGCCCACTGCCTGGTTGCCAATATCTGATAACTGGTGCTTCATGTATTTTTGTCTGGGTTTTGGTGGTTTCAGCTGGAAGGGCATATCTGGTCTCTTTCACCTCATCTTGGGTGAAAATAAAAGTCCAATCTCTTTAATGTAATTTGATGTTTATCATAGTGAAACATACATGCCAGAAACCACACGGCACAAATGTACCACCTGGAGGATGTTCACACGCCCTGCATGTCCGTGAAACAGAGTGACCGCGCCTGGCCCGCCCCTGCCCCCAGGCCAGGCCAGGCCTCCCGGCCCTCCCCTTTGCTGCCTCTCACCATCTAATCGATGACCAACTGTATCGCTGGCTGGTGACCACCAGCCCCCTCCTTAGAGACAGAAGTTTCTGAGGTCAGGAGGGAAGTTAGGGTCCTGCTGGGGTGCGCTGGCAGCTGTCAGAGCGCTGGCTCATGGCAGGTGCTCCCTAAGCGCCTCCAGATGCGCCAGGGCCGTGAAAAGCGTGGGGACTTTGACGACCGCCTCTTGACAAGAGCTGCACTGTCTTGCCGTGAGAGCCGCCTGCGCGTTTCGGGCGTCCGCCCGGCTCTCACCTGGCTCCTCTCTGCGGAGGCGATTGCGTAGCATCTGGAGAGAAAGCTCCCGGGACAGCGAGGAGACCAGCCCGCCGGCGAACGCGGACAGCCCTTCCAGCGGCAGCTCCAGCAGATGCCTGTCCGCGATCAGGACGACGTCGTCTGCGACCTCGGGCTGCACTGCGCGGGGAGTGGGGTGGAGCAGCCGCTACCGCCCCCTGGTGGCAGCAGACCCCTGCCCCTCACCACCCCCACCCCCACCCCACGAGGGACTAGGCGAGGAGGCTGAACTGGGCACAGCCAGGGCCTGGACACCGCCCGGGTGGGGGGACAGCGTGTCCTCTGTGGTGCCGAGGGCCGCCCGTGCTCTGTGGGCACTCCTGAGGCAAGTGCTGGAGCCTCGGCTCCTCCCAGCAGGGAGCCCCTTCAAGGGACGGGCGGTTGTGCTAGCCCCGCTCCCAGAGGACCGTCCAGAGGGGACCGTGGCCGCTGGGGCAGCTCCGTTACAGGGAGTGTGGTGGTGCTCCCGGGACCCCACAGCTGCTCCGGCTGTCAGCCCCTGAGGGTGAGGGTGACATCGCCATGGTCTCTGGCCCTCGGCCTGCCGGGGGGCCTGAGGGTGGGGTGGGCAGCCGGAGGTTGCACACGGCCCGCCAGGGCACCGATCAGCACCACCCAGAGCAGGCCAGGCCCCAGGCCCCGCTCACCCTGGGACAGGGACATTTTCCTCTCCTTGTCTTTGCCCTTTGTTTTTCCAGAATCTGAAACCACCACGGGGATCGGTGCTCTGAAAGCAAAGGCACAGATTCAGGTTGAAGAAACCCATGAACACCACTGAGAAGGGGCAGTGAGTCCTCGGGGCAGCGCATCACGAGGGCAGCATCAGGGCACGAGGCTCCCCGCGCTCCCTGCTGGGGGCCCGTCTCCCGAGGCCGGGGCATGGATGTGAATACATTGAAATCAGGACGCTCTGACCTGCTGGCTAATCAGGGAGTCCATGCACTCCACCTTCCTTCCCCCCAAACCCAGATCCACAGGGCCGGGCCCTTTGCCAGGCTCTTCCCTCCCACCACACCCAGACCAGAGAGCAGCGGGGGTCCTCGTGGCAGGGACGTCCCCCAGAAAAGGTCTGGGGCGGGGCCAGACGTCCCCCCGACGGCAGGCAGGCCCAGCTTGTCTCCGAGGGCCCGTGCCCTCTCCAGGTCAGTGTGGCCCGATTCCGCACAGAAAGAAGCCCGGGGCTGTGGCCTCAGTGGCACAGCTCTGACCCTCCCACGCCCACAGCCAGCCGCTCAGCTCCCGCGGGGCTCAGGGGCAGAGGCTGAGCTGGCTTTTGCATGGAGCCCCCGCCCGCCCACCCTCACCCTGGGCGTCACACTGCCTGGGACCTGTGCACACTTGTGGGGACAGGGATGCCGTGACCCTCCACTCCCAGGGTTCCAGCAGTCAGGCTAGAACTCAGTGCCCGAGCCCCTCGGGAGGCGACCCTGGGCGGTACCTGGGCTCCGGGGGGCAGCTGAGCAGCGGGAACAGCGGCTGCAGGTACTGCTCCATGGACTTCAAGACCACCTCGAACCTCAGCAGAGCGCGGTCCTCCCCCTTCGGGTGCACGCCTTCCGACTCCTCCTCAACCCAAAGAACCGCCGAGGTCAGAAGGTGTCAAAGGGGACCCCCTGGAGCCCCCAGGCGGTGAGAAGGAAGGGGCCAGATCCTGCAGGCGATCCCCAGGAAAGGCCCCGCTCAGAGCCAGGGCACCCCAGCCCGCGGCACTCCTCTGCTGACACGGCAGGGGCATCTGCACCAGGCTTGGCTCAAGGGTTCAAAGCAGAGTTGGTGCCGGGTCTGGTTGGGGAGCCTGACCTGGGGTCCGGCAGTGCCGGGCAGTGGTCCCTGCCCTGCCCGTGGGCTCGGGTCTCACCAGGCCAGTGCTCAGGGCCATGTCCTCACTGTAGGCCTCAGCTTGGGCCTGCTCCCGGAACTGCTGGACACTGGCCAGCAGGCGGGAGAAGTCAGCGGGGCTCACGGCCACCCGAGCCACCTTGCAGGAGCCTGCGGAGACAGAGGCGCGTCGCCACACGGGGCCTCGCAGACCGCCCTTCCGGCTGAGAGCACTGCGGGTGGAACGCTGTGCACCGCCGGCCTGATGGGGGGTGGCAAACTATGGGCAAAGCTTTGGGACCTTCCCCAGAAGGAGTCAGAGCCAGAACCCCGGAGAGGGGACGGCCAGAGAGGCTGGGAAGGAAGGCGGACAGAAACTCGGCATCTGCAATGCGCCCGGGCCGCTCTGCAGGCACCGTGAGGGGTCAGCAGGGAACGGGGGTCTGGCCCCCAGCAGGGGTCAGGCTGGGTGGTGTTGCTCCTGTTGACACTCGGGAGCGGGGCACCAGGAAGTAGCCAGGGGGCCCTGGGACAGAGCAAACGGCTCTCCACCTGTGGTTGTAATGAATGGGCAGGTGGAATGAAGTGCTGAGGCTTAGGAAGGAGCTGGAGGGGGAATGTTGGGGGGGTCTCCCCAGTGGGAGGCACATGGGCCAGGCTCTGCTGCTTCCGCCTGATGCCCCCTCCCTACCTGGGAAAGATGCCTGAATGGGGGCTGGCAACCCCTGGGTCGGGGGAGTGGAGGAGCCTCAGGTCTCTGTCTGCCCCGCCCCCAGGGCCGCCCCAACCCCGCAGAGGGCGGTGCTGTGGCGCGACTCACCCCCGGTCTGGAGTATTCTGCCTTTGGCTGCAGGGACAGACTTGGTTTTGTCGTAGGAGGCGCCATACAGTCGGGTCCTGTTGGCAGGACGGGGTGGGGTCCCAGAGGAACCCTGAAGAGGCCGACTCTGTGCCACCACCCCCCTCGCCGCCCCAGCGTGAGCCCCTCCCTTGAACCTCAGCCAAGTGAGGACGGAGCCACACAGCACCCCGCCCCCCACAGCGCTCTGCAGGCTGGCCGAGGCTGGCAGCCCGGGGTTTCTGCTGCAGTTCCACGGTGCGCTTTAGATCAGGGCTGTGTGCTGGCAGGAGGCGGCACTGTGCCAGGCCCCCCGCCGTCATACCCGTCAGCCTGGGCACCCTGGCAGAGGGGTGGTCCACCAGCCCCATCCCAACGGGCAGCCCACCCCGGCCCGTGCTGTGTCCACAGTGACCGCCAGCGCAGGGGGCAGGGCCCTGGGAGCAGCTGGGGAGCAGGGGAGAAGGCCTCACCCGTCCCTGGAGTGGTGCAGGAAGATGACCCGAACGGTGGGAGGAATGTCATTCAAGAGGTTAAAGTGCTCTTCCGTGACCCGGAGGTTTTGCCAAGCCTGCGGGTGAGCCTCAGGGTCAGTGCAGGCCGGCGGCCGCCGCCAGGGGGCAGCAGAAGCGCACGGACCTCGCCGCGGCACCGCCGCGCAAGGCAGGGACCCGGCCCCGCCGAGAGCCTGGCGGCTCCGCCCCTCCGCTCCCCGCGGCGCCCCCGCGCAGACACAGGCCGAGGCCCGCAGTCAGTCTCCCAGCCCGTAGGTGGTGCGGTCCAGCCTGCCCGCGCCCCCGCCCGTTTGCTGCGGGTCTGCAGCAGGAGCCGCCGGCAGCCCGCAGACCACCCCCAGAGAGGAGCCGCTCACGCCCGCCCCCCGCTTTCTGATGAAATGGGCTTCAGGTCTGCAGGGGCTGACCCTTGTCCACAGTCAGGTCCCCTGCAGGGGGCGCGGGGGACGCCTGTTCCAGCGGAGCAGACGGGTCGGAGCAGGATGCTCCCCAAGCTGGGGGATGGGTCACAGGGGCCAGACCTCTTCAGTTGCAGCGGCCTCCACCCAGTGTCCCGGGTCCCTCCAGGCTGGCACCCGTGGCAGCTGACCCTGTTGCCCGTTTTGCCTGCAGTGTCCCGTTGGGGAAGGCACAGCCTCTCACCCGTCTGTGGCCAGCAGGCACAAATACTGCTGTGACGTCTGTTCTTGGGGACCACAGCCCGCAGGGAGAGTTGCTGGGTTGAACTCACTTCCCAAGGGGCTACGTGCGGACGGACCCTAGCCCCCCAGGGGCCCCCTCCTCTCCAGCCCTGGGTGCTCTCCCCCCCTCTGGTGGACGTCCAGTAGTACTTGGGTGGGGTTTTAATTTTTGCATTTCTCTGATGACCAGTGAAGTTGGGCAGCGTTTTAAGGGTTTACTGGCTGTTTGGGCGTCTTCTGTGACAGTCCATCCGTGTGCGTTTCCTCTCTTGGAGGGTCAGTCTCTTTCTGAGAGCGGGCCACCTCCTTTCTCCACACAGGATTCCAGCTCCCGGTCACTCGTGTGTGCTGGACCTCCTCTGAGGTTTGCCTTTGACTCCCGGGCAAAGGATGTGTGGTTCTGATGAACAGAGGTCCTTCACATCCGTGCGATGCAGCATGTAGTAAAGTTTGTGCCTCCTTCCTGGTGATGAGGAGGCTCGTCTCCAAAAGCTTCCTCCGAGAGCTCCACTGTGTCACCTTCTCAGGGGGAGCCGTCACCCGGGCGGGGCTGCGTCAGGCGTGTGCGGTGGGCCTGTTCCTGGCCTTTTTCTGTTGTGTCTTCTCTTCCGCCGCTTCAAGCTGGTCTTGCTATCTTGTTCGGAAGCTGGCACTTCCTTACAAACGTGTTCACACAGTCTTCCTCCCCCAGACGCAGCTGCCTCTCTGCTTAGTCAGTTCTTTTTCAATTTTCCTTAGAGAGGTTTATGGCTTTGGGAGTAGAGATCATATGTCTTTTGTTAGATTTTCCTTAGGTGTTTGGGTCTGATGTCACTGAAAACGGTGTTATTCAGACACTGTAGCCGCTTGTTTGTAACTGGCGTATAGAGATGCAATCGTTGGGACAGTCGTCAGTCGTGACCTGCCATCTGCATGCTGCATCTCAGAGATGATGACTTTTAAGGCCCATAATCATGTTGACTGAATAATCAGTTTTACTTCTTCCTTTTCAATGCTTCTGCCCTTTATTCCTTTTCCTAGTCTAACTGTTCTATTGAATAGAAGTGTGATAGCTTTCTTGTGTCATTTCAACTCTTCTAAGAGAAAAGTTTTCAGAATTTTTCTGAAAATTAATGTATAGTATGATCTTTGCTATAGGTCTTTTAAAGACATCCTTTATCAAATTAAGGAAATTATCTTCTTAGTTAATATGGAAACATACATTGTGCACTACTGTAAGGCAATTACCCTTCAATTAAAAACAAATAATAGAAAAAATTATCTCCTATCTTGATTTTTTGAAATCACGGGCTGGTGTTGAATTTTGACAAATGGTTTTTCTGCATCTATCAAGATGGGCTTACGATTTTCTCCTTTTCCTCCTGTTAGTATGGTGGACCAAACTGAATGAGTTAAAATACTAGATTGCATGGTGCACAACACCTGAGCCTCCTGCGTTACACAGTTACTGGGTCTTCTTGCTGATACTGTGTCCACGGTGATAAGACATTCTCCCCACATGTGAGGTCCTGGTTGGGCCTTCAGTATGGAGGCTTGGGGGCCTCTCTGAGGACAGTCACGGAGTGTTCCTCTTGCTCCTGGCCCCTGAAACATCATTTCGTCCTTCAGTGTTTGGTGGAATTTGTTGGTGAAGCCAGCTGAGCCTGGGACTCTCTTTGTGACGGTGTTAAGACACTTCAGTGTTAAGTGTCAAGACACTTCTTGAAGAGAGATTAAGTTATTCAGATTTTCTGTTGTCAGCTTTGGTAGGTTATATTTTTTGAGGAATTTGTCCATTTCACTCAAATTGTCAAATTTATTAGAGTAAGGTTATAAAAAGAGTCTCTCACTAGTTTTTTGATGTCTGAAGGATCTCATGATGTCATATTACCTATCCTGAAATTTCTGTCTTCCCTCTTTTTTTGTCAGGTCTTCCTAAGTGTTTATCAATTTTACTATTAGTAGTTTTCCCCTTGGAACCCATTCTTGCTATTATTGATTTCCTCTGCGGTAGGTGTGATTTAATTTCATGGTTTTTGTTGTTCTCTCTCTCATTTGTTTTCTTTTTTCTTAGATGTTTTTATTCTAGCTTCTTGAAATCAAAGTATAAATCACTGTTTTTTTAAGGCTTTCTTTTTGTGCTCAAGGGTGTATTTTTTCCCCTAAACTCTGTTTTAGACAAGTCTCCTAGGTTTTCTTATATAGTATTTTTATTCTTTAAGTCAATTTAAAATATTTTGTAAACTTCTTTGACCAATGGATGATGATAGACATACTGTTTAATTTCAAGGAAACAGCAGCTTTTGTTCACATGTATCTTTTAGTTATTGATTTCTGTTTTAATTTCCTTGTGGTTAGAAAACAAACTGAATGATCTCAGTGCTTTGGCATTTGCTGAGGCATCCTGTGGCCAATGATGGTCCGCTTGGTAAAGGCTCCGCCCACACCTGGAGGGCAGGTGCGCCTGCTCCCAACTGGCTCCACGTTCCCGGAATGTCAGGCCAAGTCTGTTCAGTTCGCGCACTCGGGGACGACTCTGCGCACTTCTGCAGGTTGTTGCTGCTTCTCTTTCTACCAGCAAGTGAGAGGATGGGTCCAGCCTCCCCACAGAGCCGAGGATCTGTCTGCAGCTCCTGTCTGGGTCGGTTCTGTTCACACATTTGAAACTCTCCCTGGTGCTCACGGGCTGGGGACATGGGTCCCCGCTGACTGACCACTGGGTCGTCCCCTCCAGTACCGTGTCTCGGCAGAGCACCGCCGGGCTTTCAACTGATGAGTCTTCCCAGGGTTTACAGACTGCCTCTCACCTCCTCCAGGCAGGCCCCACCCTGCAGGAGGGCGGTTCCTGTCCCTGGGTCACGGCAGGGCTCCTGGCCTGGAGACATTTTTGGGGTGTCACGTGGGAAGGCGCCTGAGGCCAGGGCTGCCGCTAGCACCCCTGGCACACAGGACGGCCTGCACAGAGAGTCGTCCCATCCCTACTGGTCAGAAGGAGAGAGGCAGCCTGGCTTGAGGGGTGCGAGGTGCCCACACCAGCAGTCACGGAAGCCCCATGGAGGAGGAGGGTGGGCTTGACCAGAGCGTTCTGGCCTGTTTTCTGTATTCAATTTCATCAAGTTTAATTTCGTTAAGTCTCCAATTCATATTTGCTAGTCCAAATAAAAGAGGAGGTGCTGTTAGCTACCATGCTCTGCAAATTTCTTCCAAAATTAAATTCTAAGACTTGGCTGAATATAAAATATTTCCTAAAACACAGCATGAACTGAAATGGACCCCCCAGAGCCCCATCCTCCCCCCTCCTCTTCGTGACCACCGCAGGCCTGGGTGTCTGTGCTGAGTTCGCAGAGTCTCGCCAATGCTGAAGGTGGGCTGCTCTCCCCACTGGACCCATGAGAAGCTGCAGCTCAGAGAGGGTGAGTGGCCCCCCCAGAACCACACAGCAAGCGGGAGGCAGGGCCGGGATCTGCACCCGGTCCGAGGGCATCTGCGGAGCCGCGGGGTGGGGCAGGCTCACGGGCAGCCTCGGCTTGGTTACCTTGGATGTGGCGGCCAGTCTCTGCTCCACGCTGGCACACAGGTTGGTGGACGTCCTCTCCTGGCGCCTCAGCCTGTCCTGGAGCCGCAGCAGCGCGGCCAGCTGTGAGCTGCTGGTGTTGGCCGTGGCTGCGAACAGGACCTCGCGCATCCTCTCAGAGGCCGAGCAGCTCTGAAACAGACGGTGGAGGCTGCCGGTGGGGGCCGGGCAGTGCCCATGGCAGGTGGGCACCCAGGCACTTCTCCAGGCGGCTGGCACAGCCGACAGGCCGGGCGAGCCCGCCTTCACCGTTGAGCCCGCGGGCCTGCCGGCTCAGGACACGGGAAGGAGCGCACTCTGCTCTCCCCTGAGCCCCAGGGAACACAAGTTTGGGGGCTCCTGCTGCTCGTGCGCCCATGGGAACTGCAATGGGGGGCCGGATCCCCTTCTCCAGGTACCTGGGGTGCCTCCTCCAATGAGCGCCATCCTTAAAGCGGAGCCCAGTTGCAGCCTGGCGGGTGGGGCCGCCGGCAGACGGAGCACTGGGGCCTCGGGGGGCCTCCCTCTCCCCAGGGGCCAAGGGGGGCCTTGCGGAAGGGGCCCAGAGCAGGGCACACCTGAGCCAGCGCGAGGAACTGGCAGGCGGTCGTGGGCTCCAGGATGCCCGTGCACTCCACCATCTCCAGGCTGGCAGCCGCGGCAATGTCCAGTAGGTTGCTGCCCAGGGCCCCATGCAGGCACTGCAGCAGCACCTCGGACGCCTGGGCCAGGTACTGCTGGGCCAGCACCACCCTCCTCCGCGGGGGGACCTCAGACTCAAGCGGGCTCTGTGGGCCGGGCAGCCTGGGGCTGGGTGGAGGCCGGCGTGCCCTCTGATCCCAGCCCTTCCTCCACTCCTCGGGGGTGGCCCTGAAGGACGGCAGTTCACCGTAGGGCCCCTCATGCTCCGGGTCCTCCTGGTTGATCTCCAGACCCCTGAGGCTGCTCAGCTCAGCGCCCCCCTACAGAGGACACACCTCCAGTCAGGGCAGCGTGGAAGCGCGTCTCTGCAGGACCCCTGGGTGAGGGGGCATGGCAGGTGTGCTGCAGCCCACCCTTCACTGATTTAGGTGACCGGTGGGGGCCTGGCAGAGAAACCAGCGCCTGGCAGATGCTGCAGGGAGGAGCCTTGGCATGGCCGTGGGGATGGCCTTCTGTGCCGCACCCCTTCAGGCCCCGCAAATCCCCTCCCTTGAGCAGCAGGCCTGGGGGAGCTGGGTGCCCGTCTGCCCCAGGGGCCCAGGGGCCAAAAGCACCACAAGGCTCCTCTTGTCTCCTCTGCAGGACAAGGCACCTGAAGGGGTCCTCGGGAGGCCAGGGGGACCTGCTTGGGGGGCAGCAGGCCCAGGAGACTCAGGCTGGGGGAGCCCTGGGTCTGCGGGGATGAGACAAAGGTGGGCAGCCCCTCCAAGCGGGGGTGTGGTGAGCGCAGCTTCCCAGACGGGCGCCCGCTTCAAGAGGGGCCACATGCCTGGTCCGTGTCTGCCTGACCCAGAACCACCTTTTCAGGTGCCCAGTGAATACTGGTTGAATGCAGTCAAACTGCCACCAATTCACCCACATGTGAGTCACGTCTGAGGGCCTGGAAGCCTGGACAGCCGCCTCTGGGCTGACCCCAGGGCTGTACACCCAGCCAGGTCCCTGGGCCCGGCCTGGCTGCACCTAGGCAGGTGCCTCCTGGCGTCTACAGAGGCATTTAGGACGATGACCAGGAGCTCCCACGGTGGCAGCTGTCACCAGAATCCCTTCTGAGGGGCAGGGGCTTCCTCAGGGGCTCCAGGCCTGCAGGGCAACCTGGCAGGGGGTGGGTCCTGGAGAGAAGAGGGCGGGCCTGGGTGCACTGGCGCGCTGTCGGGAGGAGGGCTTCCCTGGACCGTGTGGGTGGGTGGGGGCGGGGAATGGAGGAGCAGCGAGGGTGGGCAGGACCAATACCTGGGTAGGGAGGGGGCCTGGTCCTCAGGCACAGAGCTGCTAGGGTGGAAGGAGGCGCCAGGAGCCACCGCCTGGGGACACCCCGTGGGGCGGGGGTGGGATGCCCCACTTAGGACGGCCTGTCCTGCTTGCCCCTTCTCCCCCTCCCGTTCTTCCTCCGGGGGTTGGGCCTTTGGCCTACCTTGTCCTCTCTCCACAGCCCACACCACACTTCTTGACCCCGGACAATTCAAGTCCTGTTTTCTACCCCAGTTCTTACTAAGCTCCCGTGAGCCCTAAGTGTATGTTTTCAGGCCTCAGTGGTCAGTCCGGGAGCCGGCCAGACGCACCCAGAGTCTCTCCTCCCAGTAGCAGGCGGGGAGCAGGAGGTCCCAGTTCTCGGCCAGCAGGTGCAGCGCCTTCCCGGCCAGGCCCAGGAACCATGGGTGAGGCTCCTCGGAGTCCGCGCTCAGCGACTGCAGGCTCCCCAGCTGCGCCAGCACCATGTGCACCAGGCTGTGCTTCAGGTTGAACCACTTCTTCAGGGACACAGACCACCTCAGTCACCCAAGGGCCACCGCGGCTGCCCACCCAGGCCCCACCCTCCAACAGCCCTGCAATGTGGCGAGGGTCTCCCATGCTCAGGTGCTGCAGGTTCTAGAGTCTGCTGAGGAGCCTCAATTTGGGGCAGGTTGACAAGGGCGGGAGTTTGTACTGAGTTCCATTTAGGATTCATTTGATTTATTTAGTTACGTCAAGTTAATTGGGTTCACACTTCACGAAATCCCTAACAGTCTAACAACAGAACACGTTTTGCTCAGAGCTGTTCTGCAGAGGTAACATCTTTTTAACAGACTGAAGTTCACCTTTACGGACGCCTTCCTGTGACGACACAGCCGTCAGAGCACCCACCTTGGGAAGGGGCACCTCCCCCAGGAAGACCCCGATCTCATTAGCCAATCAGACGGGCCTTTCTGGGCTGCTGGGAGCTGCCGGGGTAGGGAAGCCCTCTGCTCAGAGATCTCGGGGACGTTTGTGAACCCGGCCTCCTGGGCTCCCAGTGGCTGGTCAGGCACACGGGGCGACCCGCCGCCAGGCCCCGCCCGCCTCTCCCTCCTAGGCGAGCCTCTCTGCCGGCTCGGCTGGTCAGTTGCTGTTCCTCAGATTTTACGTAAGGGAACCGCAGAGCACCTGCTTTCTGCAGGCTGTGTCCATCCTGGGAGCCGTTCCGTCGCTCAGCCAAGTCAGACTCTCTGCGACCCCACGGACTGCAGCGCGGGGCGCGTGTGCGTGAGTCCCTCCACGCGGACGGGCTGAGCTCTGCCGGGGCCATCCGCCTGCTTGCTCCCACACCCCCAGTGTGAGGCTGAGGCAAGCAGCGCTGCTGTGAGCGTTCCGCACGCGTGTGTGGGGGGCACACGGCCAGGAGCGGGGCGGCTCGGCCACCCGGGGGCCCGTGCCTTCACTCTTCACGGAACCGCCAGACCAGTCCCAAGGTGGTCGCTCGTGCCGTCCCCACCGGCAGCGTGGGAGGGGTGTCCCAGTCTCGCACGTCCTGATGACCTTTGGTGTAACTGGTCCTTCAAGTTGTAGCCCTGTTAACAGTCGTGTGGCGGTTCTTCCCTGACTCACTAATAAACTTGCGGGCTTCTCTTGTGACTATTCACCATCCACATATTTTCTTTGAAGAATTGTCTGTTCAGACGTTTGGCCAGTTTTTATTGGGCTGCTTATGTCTGTTTTGAAAGCTCTTTACATTAACATATTCTAGATACAAGACCTTTGTCAGATAAATGATTTGTAAATATTTTCTCCCAGTCTGCAATTTGTCTTTGCATTCTCTCAATGGTGTCTTTTGAAGAGCTGAGTCCAATTTATAAAGTTTTTCTTTGATGGATTATGATTTTGGTGTCATGGGTAAGAAAGCTTTGCTAAACTTGAAGGCTGCAGAGGCGTTTTCCTATGTTTTCTTCTAAAAGTGTCACAGTTTCAGCTCTCACATGCAGGTCTGTGACCGACCAGTCTTGAGCTGGTTTTTACACGGGGTGTGACGTATAATTGGAGGGTAATTCCGGGGGATGGACGTCCAGTTGCTCCAGGAGCTGTTTTAAAGGTGAGCCCTTCTTCACTGAACTCTCTTTGCACCTTTGCTGAAAGTCAGTTTCCTTTCTGTATGCATGTGTCTATTTTTAGATTCTCTATTATGTTCCACTGATGTGTAATTTTACATGAAAACCACACTATCTCAATTCCCATAGCTTTACAGTCCAGTTCAGTTGCTCAGTTGTGTCTGACTCTTTGCGACCTCATGGACTGCAGCACGCCAGGCTTCCCTGCCCATCATCAACTCCCCGAGTTAACTCAAACTCATGTCCATCGAGTCCGAGATGCCATCCAACCATCTCATCCTCTGTTGTCTTTCTCCTCCCACCTTCAACCTTTCCCAGCATCAGGGTCTTTTCCAATGAGTCAGTTCTTCATATCAGGTGGCCAAAGTAGTGGAGTTCCAACTTCAGCATCAGTCCTTCCAATGAATATTCAGAGTTGGTTTCCTTTAGGATGGACTGGTTGGATCTCCTTGCAGTCCAAGGGACTCTCAAGAGCCTTCTCCAACACCACAGTTCAAAATCATCAATTTTTTGGCACTCAGCTTTCTTTATAGTCCAACTCTCACATCCATACATGACTACTGGAAAAACCATAGCTTTGACTAGATGGACCTTTGTTGGCAAAGTAATGTCTCTGCTTTTTAATATGCTATCTAGGTTGGTCAAAACTTTTCTTCCAAGGAGCAAGTGTCTTTTAATTTCATGGCTGCAGTCACCATCTGCAGTGATTTTGGAACCCAAAAAAATAAAGTCTGTCACTGTTTCCCCTGT